AAAAAAAAAAAAAAAAAATGCAATTGTTAATTCCGCTTTCCAGGTGTCAAAAATTTAAATAAAAACACAAGCTCAAACATTTCATTTTATGGAATTTCACTTTTTTTCCTACTAAAAACACAGGGTCATGAAAATGATTAATTACATAAATTAAATATTTTAACCTTAACTGACTAAATTACTAGGATGGAGTGCAATATTTTGCAATAATTTAAATAAAAAATAAATCTAAACATTTAAATCTGAATTTGACCTTTTGCTAGAGCTCATTTGTTATTCTGTAATATGATACCTCTAGTCAAGTTCAGTGCCAAATGTGAAACAAAGGTTAGAATAAAGTCTTAAAATAACTACAAAAATATTTTTTACAGTTAAAAAACAAAACAAAAAACGTTGTGCTGTAGTTTATACTGTTTATATTGTAAGTAATTGTAATTTAAAACTACAAAACGATATTGTGTTTTATAAACCCACTCAAAGGCATCAAAAGTGCCTAAAAATAGAGCATTACACTACATTATACAAAATGAAGCTTGTTAACAGTACAGAAAATATGTAGAAACTCAGTTAAGCAATTTAAGTGCACTTTCATAACAAAACGTCATGATTAAACCTCATCTCTATACATTTCTGCAGGTTATTCTTGTATTTCAAGAACTCTGAAAACTAGTTAAACTGAGATATACACTGTCACAGGAAGTTACAGCTCATATAAAAGTCTGAATGGAAGTTGACACTTACTCCATCGTGCTGAGGTGATCCGGTCTGAAGAGCTTCTGTGAGCGCAGTAAACCGCAGTGGAAGAGCTCACGTTTTCAATTTAGTAGAACATTGTCTCACTCTTCTTCATTTGATGTCGAGACTGATCGGTTACACGATAAATCGTTCAAAAGTTTTGGAGAACAGAGGAGTATCACGTCAAACCAAACAGTAACCGCATCACATGAGCTCGTATCCATCCGCCGCCGCGCCCCTCAGCGCAGGGTCCAAACTAACGGGGCAAATTTAATCCGAACTTCAACCTCGAGTCCATATATCAGTCGGCAAAACACTGTGATGTCCCGCTTGATCTCGATTAAAGTTCACAGCATTCGCGTTTTAGAAATGCATTTCCTTTTGAAATGTAGAGGATAAGTAAATTCTGATGATTATTAAAGTGGGTCCAGATTGCCAAAACCAGACTGGGTGTATATCGAAGCACAAATCTAAGCACAGAGACCATTGTAAAGCACTATTTAACCACATGCGACGAGGAAGGACACTATATTACACTATGGAGATGTAACTCTTGTTGCAGCCCTGTTGCATCAGACCTGCTGGAATGTTGCCCGAGTTGAAACTTTGTTGCCACATTTGTCCTGATCCGTTTATGCTTTGGACATGTATAATGAGGTTTCATCTTTAAGACCATTGTTTGAAAAAGAAAAAAAAAAAGTCAAGACATTTGCTGTAAAAACACTCGTTAGCTTGTTTTGATTCGCACCACACTTCCACCTCTGTATAAAGGAGACCGGGGCTAGTTGTCACACTGAGAAGTTTGTCACAAAGGTTGTGTCTCAGAAACAACAGGGTTTCGAGTCAAAAGTCCAATTACAGACACATGTATGTGTTTCTCTAGCTGTGGGTTTTATGTTGGTTTCAAACATCTAGTTCAAAGATGTCTTACATTTTGTGTGTGAGGGTGAATTCTGTGCTCCAAACTAAAATTAGACTATCATCATATTTATTCTGTAGCTGTTGGATATCCAGCACACATTCAGACAGGTGTCAAGTAGGTATAGAATAAGGGGACATTTAACTGAAGAGCTGAACTGTGTTTTCTGGACAAGGGTGACAGGTTGGGGCAAGTTGTCACATTGATTTTAAATGCATTTTAAATATACTGTATGTATATAAGATTAATTAAAAAAAAAAGAAATTAATACTTAATTCAGCAAAGATGCATTAAATTGATTAAAAGTGACAGTAAAGGCACTTTTACACTAATTTCCATTTTAAATAAATGCTGCTCATTTAAACTTCATCAAAGAATTCATAAAATTGTACCCTGGTTTCTACAAAAATATTAAATTGTTTTCAACTTTGATAATAATAATAAATCTTTCTTGAGCAGCAAATCGGCATATTAGAATGATTTCTGAAGGACATGAAGACTGGAGTAATGACTGCAAAAATATCAGCTTTGTGATAATAAAAATAAATAAGCATTTAAAAATATATTCAAATAGAAAAAAGTTACAATTGTAACAATAATTCACAATATCATTGTTTTTACTGTATTTTTGAGCGGATGAATGCAACTTTAATAAGCATAAGAGTCTTTTCTCTCTTAACCTAAAACTTAGTGTATTTATGTTTACTTTTACATTTCTGCTTTGCGTTTCATTAATTGTTTTATGGATGTTTCTGTTTCATGAATTGTTTCATGTTTTCATGATTGTTTTACTGTGCACATTTTGCTCTTATAGGTTTTTCGATGGCAGGTGTGACATATGGTGTGACAACATGCCCCATAATTATTATTGTTATTATTATTGGATTAACGGTGGAAACATTCAGTACCTGTTTTTGCAACAACACTGCAGAATTCTGACTACAAAATTGACCCATCTTGAGAAATATTCTAGTAAGCAATGTGACTAGCCCCATTCTCCCCAATTCATCTCTACTGCATTTTGCAATTGTGTTGAAAACACAAAATAATACAATATATAAATATAACAAATTGATACTTAATTTATTTCATTTCATTTAAAAAAAAATCTAGTTTAGGTAATCTTTAAATACTGAAACATGCCTAATTATGAGAAATGTTGAAATATTAAAATATTTTTTAATATTTATAATTAAATAATTTTTAGATCACATATCTGACATTTTAGTTTCAAACTCCATTACATTAAAACTCTGATACAAGTTCATGCTTAGATCCATTGCACACTTCTCACTGTGTGAAACTAACTACAACTGATTGAACCACCTCTTGCCCTGTTGCCAAGTCAAAGTGAATACTGTTCTCGCTGCTTTTCTCATCCTGTTGGGGTCTTACTTTTTTTTTTATCTTCTTCAACTTTACAATTTTTTATTGCAATGGATGATCAATCTGCATGCACACAAGACATTTAAAATGAATAATATTTCCAGACTCCATCATGTTTCAACTCATTTCTGAATAAAGTTTATTGTTATGTCCCAAATGCTCATGCTGAAGATGTACATTGTGAAATATACATTATATGTGTTTTCTGAACAAGAACGAGGTCATTCTCAGATTCTGAGTGCCCTCTATCTATCAATCACTCCACTGCAGACTAGTGCTTTTCACATCTGTCAGAGGAAAACCATTTTGTGTTTTATTTTTTAGTAACTTTTTTTTTTTCATTTCATTCTTTGTGATTTGTCGTCATGGCAATATTTGCAGTAAGAATAGCTGTTGTGTGATATCCATCCTTGCTTCGCTGCCATGAAGACTCTGGTACATTGATAAAGGTTACACCATAATTTCATCACCAGCTTGCAAAGAATCCTGCCCCCATTAATGTTTTATGTTCTATCTGGGGTAACATTAGAAATGCACACATGGGTTGTAAGAAATTCTGTTGCTAAGGTGCCAGTTATACTCTTACATCTGTAATTAGTGGGGAATTATGATCATTTTTCTCTTTTTAAAATAGCGTTTAAATGAGAGAATATATCAAGGCTGAGTAATCAGTTTGTGAGATTTCGAGACGTGAAAGCGCTGTGGGAGTGTGCTCTGTTTTCCAAAGGAATTATGTATTTTGATGGGTTTTTGAGGGTAATAATATGGGGTTTAAAAGGAAAATATTTAGCTTATCACCGGTCACAGTGATATCAGATGGGGAAAAAAATCACACATTTTCTGCATGAGAAAGATGAATGATTTTATTTCATCAGATCAACTGCCAACTCGCTGTTTTATTTAGGGTGGACAGACACAATACTAGAGAGTATGATTTTGTAGACAGAAAAAATATATAAATACCAAATCATATGTAAAAAAAATTATAATTGTTATTTTTTATCTTTACCTTTATTTTAATATTGAATAATAATTGTTGCACTTTCTTATTTGCCACTGAGCCATTTTACATGAAATTTGAAGATTTTTGTTCCTTTTTGTTTCCTCCTTTTAATTACAAAAGCACATATTGTACTCTAAGAGGTTTATTTATTTACATAAGCCTAATTAATTAATTAGTGTATTAATTGCTGTAATCAAGGGATGATGGTGCGTCATAGGTTTTCTAAAACACCAGGGATGGAGATATTTTTTCACTCACTGCTCATACTCGTATTCTTTTGCAGTCATTTATTGGACTTAATATTATTTTTTTAATCTTCTTTACTTATTGTACTTGCAAACCAGCTCATACTGTGAGTTTATACGTTAAAAGTTACATTGTTTCATATCATTTGTATTTTTATATATTAATATATTTTCAGTAGTGCAATAAAGTGCAATAATACATTATATAAAATATATATTTATAAAAAAAAATCTATAAAAGTAACAGTTCATTTTTTAAAATGGTAAACCCTCCTTTTTGCATTCTAAGATGTGTAAAATGCAAAGCAAACATGCAGCAAAGGTAGAGGGATTGTCACTGTTCTTTGACAGTGTTCAGGCATGCAACCTGCAAAACAAAGGTGAGGAAGGAGTGTGTTTGACAGCTCTTTGTTGTCACTTTTCAACAGATGACAGCTGACAGGTGCGAGATCTATATGAAGTACTCCCCTTCAGCACCACGCTGCTTGTTTTCCAGTGTGCATTATTTGCTGAATCCTTAAGAATCTATTCAGAACGTCTAAATACCACACCCATTCATTGTGTGCTGTTAAGTAAATGAGCTTTACTTTAAAACCATCAGAAAAATTGAGGTTGTTTGAAATGGACGTTGAAAGGGAAGTTTATAAAAAATGGTATTTGCATTTTAAATTTACACATTGTTTCACATTTGACTTGTTTACAACTGACAGCGAGTGCTTTATTTATACCTTTATTTTAAAAGCTTTCTGTGGAAGCTTGAGGAAAATAATAGGACAGTTTTGGGGAAAATTCTTTGCTTCTGACAAAGCCTTTTTCTCTGATGCACATGGTCAAAATACTGAATATATTGAATAATAAATATTAATAATTCATATGATAAATAACATTTCTTAATTTTGTACTTTAACAGACCTCATGTTGTGTTCCGATCATTTTGAACTGGAGAAGATTTTCTTTTTTCCAAAAATGCTTGTTAATGCTATCATATTGGTTAAAAACCTACTGACTCTGCTCACACATGGTATAACAGTTTCACAAATAAAAAATATATTTTTTGTATGTTTTTATGGGACTTTTCTCCCCACCTTGTTACATTTGCCTACAAAAAAAATTGCTTATAAATGTCTCGTCATCATATATTATTAGCAAATATTGGATTCTGTCTTTTTATCATCTTGTTTTCTTTCAATTAGAACAGGTCTTTAATTTCTTTTTGGAACTGATTGATCGTAGGCCTCATTAACCTAAGCTTATGCACCTCGGTTTTTGAGTGAATATTGCCAAAATTATTTAGATTTTTTAATCTATTCTATCTATAAATGATCTATTTTAGATAAATTTAGATAATTTATTTTTATTTTTCTTTCCCACTCAAAACTGTGCATAAGCTCAAAAAAGTTTAGATCAGTGAGGACTCCATCCAGTCAGTTCCAACACTGTAAAAATATTGCTGCAATTAATTCTAATAACTTAAAATTTTTGAGATAATTTAAAAAGAGGGTTAACTCAACAAGGGTTATTTCTTAGAGTCTTTTTATTTATTTATTTATTTTAATTCTGCTAAATGTTAACTCAAACTACTCTGTAATCTTCAGTGTAATGTCTGATTGTTTATCTTACTAAATATTTCTAGTCACGCAAGGGCTGCAACCAGTGAGTATTTCCGGTTTCCTTTCTATCATTCACTCCGACGTTGTGTCAAGTGTATGACACTAGGGGTCGCTCTTGGGAGTCCAAACACCTCTGACATCTTTGAGAAAAGGCCAATGAAATTGAGTGTGCAGAATTTACATAGCTGGCCACGCCCCAGACATCCGGGTATAAATAGGCCAGCGTGGCATCTGCTCACTCGTTCTGTTTTTCGGAGCCGAATGCAGCGTCTCTCACGGAGAAGGTGCGATCATTCACCTCTTGATTCCTCGTTGTTGGATCTAAGGCACAGT